TTAAACCGCGGAGATAACGAAATGGCTCCGGAAAAACGAACCGCCGGCCAGGATGAGGGTTTGGGGAGCCAAACCCCCGTGTTTTCGACCCAAACTCCTCTCAAAATCAGTTCGAGGAGCCCCAGGAAGAGAAGGGTGGGGGCGCGGTGCGCTCTCCTCGCCTGGGAGAAATCGGATTCAGGTGGGCAGAAGGAAACACCTGAGCGAGCTGGAGTCGGGTTGTTACGGCTTTGAGCCCGTGACGCTAATTGTTTCCAACCCGTCTGAGGATCTTAGCTAAAAAATCCTGGTAATGATGAGCGCCGGGATCTTCTGCAGCCGCCTCCTTCGGCGCGAACAAATGCACTCGGCAGCGGAAAATAAAATTCTCTGCCCTTCAGGACGCAGCGGTCCTGCAGTCCGTTAACTCCGCAGAAATACAGGGAAGAGGGAAAAGTTTTTTCGGGCAAAACTATCTCTTTCTGCCTGACAAGCGTCTCTTGCAGCCCTTTTCCAGAAAAACGGCTTTTGCAAGTGTTAGTTGAAAAATCAGTAATAACCCTCGAGGAGAAAACTAACCGAGTATTTGCGCTCTCTGCAGTGCTCCAGTGGGGGTTCGAAGCTGTCAGGTTAACCCTCCCTTATGTTAGGAGCTCCTCAAAATATTGGGGCACACCAAATCGTTCCTGTCTCTGCAGGAAATGTGCAAAAATCACGGCAAAAATCCATGCTGTACCCACATAGAAATGCGAGCACATAAACAAACAGATGCAGAAGAAAGTAAGAGGTTTATCAGGTTGTAAAGAGAAACGGATATCTTTAATATATTTTTTTTTTAATTTAGAAAATACTTTATGCAAAAAGCTTCTTCTGAACTCGTTTTGCAGGCTGTGATACAGGACTGAGGAGAGGAGCTGATGACGGGCTGTAGTGGGGAAGGAGGGAACAGCAACTGCCTTGATTGTTGCACAGATGCTAAAATATTAGGGCTTCCTAGGATTATACTTTTCCCCCCCTAGTCTTAAGGTAATCGTTATTTTTCTTTAGAGTTAATAACCTGGACCAATGTAAATATATCAAAATCTCCAATTCTACCAATAACAAAATCATATTTCTGAAGAAAAGCTGAAAAATAAAAATCCCAAAGCACCCAAACCAGAAGGTAAATTAAAAGAAAGCACGAACAATACACCAAGGAAAGAACTGGCCATAGACTTGGGAGTTTTTTGGAGCATAATAGAAATGGCAGAAAGAAATCTGCTCTTTGAGCCGCTTTGTCCTTCCCGTTCACAAACTGGAAGTCGTGTGCGGTTACTGGCCATACCTGGATTATTAGGATACCTGGAAGCAAATACTAACCCTCACTTGCTCTGCTACAGTGGCTCAATCGCATCCTGATTCTATGATTCTATGATTTTACGTGACCAAAAAGTCCTCGAGTCCGAGTTTGCAAAATGAATTTCCACCATGCTATACAACTGATTCTGTGTTGCTGGTTGCACTTAAAGTCACACCAGTTTGCATCCAGTGGATTCCTTCTTTTTGATTGGGTTTTTTTTTCCTTTCTTTTTACTCTGGTAAAAACGAAAATAAAAAGGGGGGGGGGGAACCTCCGGAAGAATGTGGTAATGAATGTGCAACAGAGACATACGGCTCTTAAACGGTGTTAGCTGAAACCAGCATCTGCTTAGCACCCGGGCTTATGGCTCCAGAGCACCATTTCCACGCTGGAGCAGTTGCTGCCGCTTCATTTTTTTGCTCTCGATGTTGCTCCAGAGGAACATCGAGCCGGTGCTGAGCGACGACGTTAAACACCAGCGGTCTCGGCACGCTCACACGTGCGAAGAGAGCCGGGGTTGCGATTTCTACCGAATTATGAAAGTGTTCATTGATTCATTTGCGAAAGGGGAACGCTAAAATGACATGTGCATTTAAAGTTTCTGGAGACACCTCTAGTATTCCAGGGTATGTTTCAAATTGCATGGGAAGCCAAGTAAAATTAGTCAATTCCTGTGAGCGGGAAGGCACCAAGAAATTCTTCATCGGGCTGAATACATTTTTTTGTTCTTGTACGCAAGGGGTGAAAGCTGCCTGTAATTTGCACAAGAAATAGGGAACCTAAAAATAGCAGCAGTAGGAGAAGGTTACCGGCCGTACAGCGAGGCACAGACCCGTCGGGGAGCTGGATGCATGGAGCTGAACCTCATAGTTGTTCCAGTCAAATTAATGGGTTTAGATGTTAAATGTGATCATCGTTCTTAGACAAGTGCCATAATAATTTATGGACAGTTCTTCCTCTTTCCCAGGAGCTTATTTCTGGAGTGAGTTTGTGCTCAGGTGGACGTGGGCAGCGGGGACGTGTGGAGCTGGAGCAGGAGTCCTCCAAGGGCTCCTCGGCTGTGGACATCAGCTCGCCCAGCCTGGCCGATTTCTGCTTTCGTTTACAGGTGGGAGCTCCAGTTCTTCCCCCGTGACCTCCAGCGGTGGGACGCCCTCTCCTCTCAACCCCCTGCTCTCTCCGTCGTGCTCACCTCCTACGCTTCACTTGTCGGCGAGCAACATCGGCGTGTCGTGCCCCGAGACCTACCTACACAACCTCAACGTGCCGCTTTACTACAAGATTTGCCCTACGAGCTTCCTGAGACAACAGGCTCTCCTCTTTCCGAGCCACGAGAAACTGGGAGGCACCAGCCCGCAGCTTCTACCCCACTTCATGGTGGACGTGCCGAAACTATCTTCCCTCAGTGTCGCCAATCTGAAAACCGCTAAAGCCGAAGACTTGAACGGGCAATGTCTACAAGTACCCAGTTCTGCCAGTCCAATGCTGTATGGATTACCTGCATCTGGAAACATTTTCCCATCAAGTCCCATTGCTCGGGAAGCACTTAATTGTTCTTTACATCCTCCATATGGCTGGTATGGTTATAACTTCTCCGTGCCATCTCGACTGATGAATGCAGCAAGCCATTTCAAAGTGAGTGACAGCATTCCGGCTTCCTTGAGGGATGGCAGATGTAATCACTCTAACTGGCACCCGACAATTAACCATTGCCTTTAGTGGAGTTATAGAATATTTCTAGGCATTGATATGTAAAGCAAGCCTCTCCTTCCTTCATACCCAAGGGCTTGCTAGTTACTGACTGTGAAATATTGCATGATGCAGGAGCGGCATGAATAGGCATTTAACATTTTTTGTTGTTGTTGTTGTGTGGGCAAACATTGTCGCGTTGTTGGGAGGGCGGAGAGGATCCGGGAACACGGAGGGTCGGAGATGATCCGCAGCAAGGCGATGCCTTTCGGTGATATTTATGTCATGGTCGTAAGGTTAAGGGCAAACCATACAGTCACCTTTTTTAATATTTGCACTCCGAAGTGGGAACGTAGACGTACACATTTCTACAAATATGTTTTCTCTGTCTAGCTCGCCTTTAGTCAGCTCACAGCCCCGGGGAGCTTCTGCTCACCCCACTTGAGTTTTTCCACTAATTTCAAAGGGTCTATTTGAGACCTTGAGTCAGCAAAGGAGCTGTATTTGGCCAAGTGCTCAAGCATGTTCTCAAGTTCCCTTGGCTTTAACGGGTCCTAATTAATGACATGGAAGTGCCTTGTTCTCCAGGACTCGCATGACTCGGTTATCAGAGTGGGGGAACGTAAATCCAAGTCTCTGCTGCCAAAGTAAAGAAAGACGAGATAAAAGACCGACACATTCCTACCTTGTGAGGGTGAGAAAGTGGAGCCTGATGCAGGGATGCCCCGGGAGCCCTCCTCTCCATCCTCTGCTCCTGGAGACTTCCGGGACGTGGTAGCGCGGAGCAGCACCCGCACCGACGATGCGGTGGGAGGACACAGGGGGTGGGGGGATCACACATCTCCCCCGTGGTAAGGCAGATCCATCCTGGAGGATACATCGGAGAGAGCTGCGTGGGATGAAATCCCCTGGAAGACCCCCAGGACACTCCTCCCGCCCAGCGCTTTCGGCTCCGGGGGACACAGAAGATCCACCTGGGATGCTCCCGGCTCGGTCCTGCAGAGGACACAGAGCTTTTCTGGAGAATTACAACTCTACGGGGCCCCAAACATGGGATTTTTAACTCCTTCCCAAAGTCCTGTTTGTTTTATTATAACCTGTGGATATTTTTGTTATTCCTGTAAATAATCTCTAGCTCCCAAGGGCACCATGTATCTCACAATAAATTGGGGCACAGGTTTTACTCTTTATTTGATTGCTGCTCAGTCCCTACCTGAAGCCAATTTTATTACTTGATAGATGACAGAGATCTGAAAATAACGCTTGACTGGAACCAGCCGCGTTTTGGGAATAAGGGAATTCTGTATTGACAAACATAACACAGCACGACCTTGGGATTATGGGCAGGTTTAAGAATCAAAATTGGTATCAGAGATCCAGCTTTATTTTCATCCATAACGGACAACAAATTAAGAACAGAGCAAGCAATGTCAAAAGCTGTTAAAATAACACAAAGTCACGCCTTTACTTTCATCAGTCTTTGCTAAAAAGCAGACACTGGTTTCCCTAATCTACCTGCTTTGAGTGTTCACACGCCCCAGTGACACCAGTATGAACCAGTGGGCCGTGCTGACTCGCTAAATGGTCGGTACAACTGTAAAAAAAAAAAAAATCAGTCCTGCTTTCTCGTACTATTTCTTAAGCAGTTTATCTCACTATTTTTATTAAAAAAAAATAAAAACCATCAGCACTTTTTTTTTTCTTTTTCCTTTGAGAGTCCTTATTTCCAAGCCATCCCTCACTGTGGGTGGTTCCCACCCTCTGCAGGTCCCTGCTCTCCAGGGTCTAAGCGACCCAGCACTGGCCCCCACATGTGGTTACACTTCTGGACCCTTCCAGCTCAGTCATGGGCTCGTGGGTGGAGGCAACGGGTAACTTCCAATTTTCCAAATATTTGCGGTTGCGTAAGATATTCCAGAGCTGCTGGCCACGAGCTGGTATCCAAGAAATCAGTGTCTGGCTGGTTCAAGACAGGACCGATAATGACTTGAGGAGATAATTTCAGTACGGACAGCGACGGGCTAAATTGAAATCAGATAAATTCCGTCTGCCGCAGCAGAGCACGCGCTCACTTTGATGGGACCCACCTCATTCCTACTCAGAGCGCGTTGGCCAACGGGCACGGGGCTTCCCAGCGCCGCCTCTTTACAAACCTGGCCGACAGCAGTGCTCAGCCTTTCAAAAATCACTGCGATGAATGAAAGGAAAAAAAAAGAAAGACATTGGTGATGCTATTTTCAGGCAGTTGTAGCGCTCTGTCCCGATACCGCCACGGTCGCCTCGGACCCGGCCGCAGCTCCCCGTGTTTTCCCTACCTGTAAAGGTAATTCAGCCGAATCGCTCATGCTAGAACGCGGACGATTCTGCTGACGGGAGAAAAACTGCCCCGAATTAGTGGATAACCCACCCGCTGCTTTCTAGGGGTGCTTTGTCAAACGGCTGCTGGTGAGAGGTGAGGGGCAGAACCGGAGAGAACAAGTCGCTGCAATAAATCACGAGTTGTTAAAAGTGGAACTGGGGGAGTCGAGGTCAGTATTTCAAGCGGGACCATGCACCTGTAAATACAAATATGTTACACGCTGCTTTGTACTTCCTCCCGTTAATGTCATTCAGAAACCTGCAGAAGTTCACTGTTCTTTAGATTTCATGGACAAACTCTGAATTACTATTTTTAAATGGGAACAGGGACAAAATAATCAAAGTTTTTTTGTTGTCGTGGTTGTTTGTTTTTTTTAAAGATTAAACTTGCGGAACAATGTTGGCTATTAGGCTAAGTTTGACTTTTTTTTTTCCAAGAGGAGTCTGAATTTGCTCGGAAGTCCTTGATCCCATTGAAAGCACTGAGCAAACAAAAGCTGTCGTACCAAAGTCGCCGCGTCCACCCTCGACGCTGGGACATGGGATGGGCTCTGTGCTCAGCCACCAGGAGCTTGATTTAAAAATCAAGAGAAAACCTCCCCCTCCCGCCCAAAATAGTGTTTTTAATCAAAGTGCAGTTTACTATCCAGTTTCACCCAAATTTAATACATCTCTCGGAGAAGCCAAACTTTAGGGGGAGCGTCGGATGTCGCTTTTTCTGATCGAAGCGCCTCGGTTTACATTTGATCTTCTGAGGTTTGGTCTGTAATTAGATGATAATTTGTATCACAATTATGCAAAACAAACGAGGATTGGATAGCAGGGTAGACCAGAACAAATAAGCACCCAGAACATTTGAAATGCATCCAGTGTGACGACGACGTCCATGTGCGGCTGGGGCCAGGGGGGGACATGCGGTTCCAATAAAGCTGCAGAAAGGGAAAAAGCCGGTATCGGTTCCTACAAAAGTTTCAGATGCTCATGTTTACAAATTTGTATTGCACATTAATATGTAAACACCCGCTATTGGAAACAGATGGCTCCGCAATATTTACGTGGCCCTGCTGCTTCGTTTCGGGTGTCCACACGTCTCCTAGAATGCACAAAGCACGCGGCGACTCTTTTAAAACACATCTCAGAAAGCTAAATAACAGGTCCAGCATCTCAAGGCGCAATTTTAAAACTGCCAGTGCTGCGGTGGCTCTCCCGGCCCTCTCTCGTCAGCTTTGGGGTACTGGGTGCAGGGGGATGCTTTGAAACCCAGAGGAGTTCTTTTTGATAAAGTCATTTTGCAAAGGAAAAGGTGTGTGGGGGGAAGGTGCAGCTGTGTCTGTAAATCGCAGCCTCCCGGCCCCGGTGGAGTTAAAGCCCAACGTGGAGGCTGTCGGGAATTAAACCGGCTGCGAGGACTTTTGCAGATGTTGGGTGTTGCACTGCAAGCTGTTCATGCTTAATAGAGTTCTGCTCTCACTGAGCAGAATTTCATCGTTATTTATCCACCCACTTCTTCTCTGCGTCCCCTCGGTAACATCCACAAGAAGGACCTACCACCCGCTTCCACACATCGAACAATTTCCTCCCAGACTGCTTATCCGAGAGCACCAAGGTTTACTGTGGCAATTAGGTACAAGAAGTAGCTCAGGTTTTGTGAAGGACCCCTTGAGCTTATAAATCAAATTACACAAACCAGCGAGTAAAATTCAAGTCCTTTCTGGAGAGGCAAACGTCAGCGATAAGGGAGAAGCCCCAGGAAAATCCTACTTTCCTTCTAAGGAAGCAGATCCTGAACCAAACCAGAGATGGGGTCAGGGGTGGCTTCTAGCTCTCTGAAGTCACATTAGATGGACTAAAGAGGTTCTTAGATATTTTCTCTTACCTCAAAAGCTTCTCTTTTGTTTTTGGAGAAGGTTTTTTGGGAGAAATTCACTTTTTCCTTCTTGGCACTGGCTCCCAATCTCCTCTCTAAGCTGGGTCCCAGCTCCACCAGTTTCCTCGGGGCCCTGCCCAGCAGCTGGGAGCACTTAGCAGCTCGTCCGCCCCGACCAGCTCACCTGCAGCAGCCAGCCCTGACAAGTCCGTCTGCAGCCAGTCAGGCCCACAAATAAAACGGGGCCTCGGCTCCAAAATAAAAGAGTAACGGACTTGCACGGTTACTCAGTCTCGCTTACTCAGACGATGCTCTGGGGATGGGTGCTGCCTTCTCCTCCTGGTGCCGGTCCGTCAGAGCAAGCTGCTGTGTCCCTTCTCCACTGACCTGCAGCTCAAAATCAACAGAAATATTTTTTATATTTTTTTTCTGCTTTTGATGGGATGCTAAATGTGCCACAGAAAAAAAGTCTGTATTTAAGGCGGTTTGGTAAATTTGCGGGGGGCAGGATTGTGTTTTATGAGTGTCTTCAATACCAGAATGGAGCAATCCAGGAGGCTGGACTGGTTTCTCCCCAGCTGGAATCATGATGCCCTCTGTGTCATTCTAAACCTAAATAAATAAATAAAGGGGAAAGGCACACGACGTTTCAGGTGCTAAACTGTTCATAACACAGTGGTAAAGCTAAGAATTAATAGCGGGTGATGGCGGGGAAGGAGGGAAGGCTGGCTGCTCGCAAAGCTCCTGCGCGCCCCGTGCTCAAAGGCACCTTCACGTCGTTCCAGTTGGATCCCACCCTCTCCCA